CTTCCTGTGGAAAAAAACTGGATTCGGTGCCATGTGCGAGGCATTCCGCTCTCATCTCCAGCTCTCTGTGCCCAGATCCCTGTGGCACATAACTGAATGGAGAAACTGGAGCCTGGATGGCCACCTGGAACATCATGTTGTGCAGGTACCCTATGGGACACACCTGCACGACCCCTTCTGCCCAGGCACCACCCCACCCAAAGGCATCCAGGGACTCTTGTTAGATCCTGCAGCTCCTACAGGGAACAAAAAAAAAAAGCCCAGATATCCCCTCCCCTTGCTCAGAGGAACAGAAAACAAATGGGACCTGTAAATCCTCACATAATAACACAAACCCAGGGGGAAGGGCCATGACGCTCTGCAGAAGATTCCAGCTCTGGGAGCTCCTTCACAAGTGTCTTTGATCACTTATCAGAGGCTGAAGCTGGACAGGACAGAGTTTGTCTCAAGGCCTGGGCACATTTAGATGTCCTTGCCCCCCTAACTAACGTCTCGTCTCTTTAGGAGATCAAAAGTTTCCTTGGAAAGCTTCCCTGACTGATCAGAGGTTTCAGCACAACCCCCAGATCTCCCAGGAGCCTGCTGACCCCGGTCAGAGCAGCTCAGAGTTACCTGCAGCATTCCCTGCCTGCTGCTCGGGGTGGGACGGGGGCTGTACCGGAGGGCTGGAGGCTTGGGGACTTTTGCTTGGAATGAGGACGTCCTTGGGAGCCTGCAGGGAAAGGAGAAAAACATTCCCCTTAGCACAGCTGCTCCAAGGAACGAGGCTACTGTGGGCCTCCTGCCCTGGAAAAGCCAACTGCTCGAATGGGATCTGCTTCCCTCCCAGCAAGGGCTGTGCTGGCTCATTTCAGGGATACCAGCCACACCCCTGCCTCCAGTGACAACCTCGGGAAAGGTGCTGACTCAGCAAGAAGGTATCCAGACAGTCTGTAGGTTGTTCCTTCCAACTCACCTTTTCCCTTGGGGGGTTCAGCTCCAGCTCGGGCCTGCAAAGGAAAAGCTATTTTCATTATTTCAGCTCCCTGAAGGTGAGTTACAGGTGCGTGTGGGACCCCAAGGGAAGTTGCAGGTAAACCTGAGCACATCCTGAGGCTATCCCAGCCCAGACACACAGAGGCTGGGCTGTAAATTCCTCTGAGGGACCATCCCACTGGGCTAGCGAGCATAACTAGCTTCAGCCTTAGGTAGCAGGTAAAGAGGGAGCTCTGTCAGCCTTGGGATGAGCCTTACCTGCCCTCTCTCCAGCTAGAGCAGAGCTGATTGACTGCCAGCATCCCAGCATTCAGGGGCTGGTGGCAGCCAGGAATTCCAGGAATCCCTGGACACACAGTGCCAGCAAACTGCCCACCCCAGTGTAGGGTTTAACCTCACTGTGCCTGAACAGCACAACCTAAAATATCAGCCAGCACTAGACAACAGCAGCACCTGAGCAGTCCCTCACAAAAACCTGTGACAAAAGCCACCCAAAGAGTGTCCTTGCAGGGAATTCTGGGATCCCTTCCCACCTGTTTTACGTGGCAGCCTCACCTCGTGCCGCTGGTCACGTCTTCTTCCATGAAAACCTCTAAGGAGCTCTGACCTGCAGAGAAAAGCATAAGTGGGGTTGGGGATTTCATTCCCAGGCTCCCAATGGCCTCTGGGGTGTGCGTGGAGGAGTGCAGGCTTCCTCCCAGGAACACGGATTGCTCAGCTTTCCACACCAGCACCGCACCTCCCTCGAGTGCCACTGACAAACTGGAGTGGGCTGGGAAGGCACAGCACTGAGGCAGCAGCTCCAGTGCCTGCAGCCTGCTCGGGCTGCCTGTGTCACAGCCAGCATTCCCAGGCCATTGGCTGCAGCTCCTGCCTCCCCACACGCTCCAGTGCAGGGATCTGGGGGGGTTTGGGCTGATTTCAGGCTGATTCCACCCCCAAATCACACCCCTTTGCTCCAAGTGTTGTAACAAATGCCTGGATACAGTGTGACTCAAGGCTGACAAAGCTGAATTCCAGAGGCCTCCGTGCTCTATCACGGCTCATCTGCCTGCAGCAGCAACGCTTTTGGAAAGTCCAAACTGCCAAACCCTGCCAGGAGCAGTGGGAACAGAGGATACAAAGAGTTCAGTGCTTCCAGGAACAGCCTGGGTTCCTGAGCCCTGTTCCTCTGGGGATGCTGCTAATTTGGGTCTCTATCCTCTCCCAAAAAGCATTTCAGTTCCTCTGCTCATTTAAGGGCTGCAGACTTTCAGCCCTATTGATTTTTCGGAGAGCTGGCAGAAGCCATAAATTAAAGCCCCTCCCCAGGGAATGCAGCAGTCTCTCCTGATCTGAAGGCACACGTGGCTCGAACCACATTCTCCCTTCCATGATTGTGGGTTTTTTGCCCATTCCCAACCTGTGCACCCCAACTCCAGCCCCGGTACCTGCACCCCAGGAACCCACAAGGGCCGGGACAAGGAGAGTCCAGGGAGCCAGATCCACCAGGGGTGAGCAGGGACTCACAGCTCACTCTGCTGGAGGCCGAGGAGGACTCTCGCGCCGCCGCCTTCCTGGCCTTGGCCCTGCTGACGGATCTCCGGATCATGTTCTCCCTCCGGCTGGACAAGGAGTATTTTTCCGCCAAGGAAGCCCTGCGGCTCCTGCTCCGGCGGCGCAGCCTGGGTTTCTCTGTTGTTCTTTTGCTGTCAGAGTCCTGGAAGAGCAGTTTGTCGAGGCCTTGGGGGGATCCATCTCCTTGGAGCGCAGCAGGGTCTCCGTTCCAAGCAGCCTTGGGAGTGGAGGTGCTTGCTGTCCTGGGCCCCCGCTCCCCATCCCTTCCTGGCTGTTCAGCTGCTATCCCAGCGACTCCAGAGACCTCCTGCAGCTCGGCTGCTGCTTCCCCCTCTGGCAGGTGCTCCCCCGAAACAGCCAGAGTGGCTGCATCACCTCCAGCAGCACCCTGAACACAGTCCTGGCCATCCTGCTTTCCCAAGGGAACAAAGGCTTCAACCAGCTGCTTCCCAGGCAGTTCCAGGAGCTGGGGCGTGACACCAGCCTGAGATCCTGGAGCACATCTGGGCACAAACACCTCCTCTCCCCCACAGCCAGGGCTCTGGGGCTGCTCTTGGTTCGGGTGCCATTGGGAACTCAGCCTGGAAGACACCGGCTTGACACCGCTTTTCCTTCGGGACAACCTTAAAGGAAAACCATTTTAAAGGAAGCGATGAAGGAATCTCCCCCACACCCAACTAAGTTTTAGGGGAAAAAGCAGATGTTAAGTTTTGAAGTGAAGCTGCTGCTGGCTTCTCCCCTCTACCATTCCCCCTCAGAGCCCATCCTATCCTTGAGGAGAGGCACATGGATACACAGCCTGAGCTGGCTCACGTGGACACAGGGGCCCAGGCAGGAGTTCACACACAGGGGCTGTGTCACACAGACACAGCCCAGGCTGGGTATCCAGGGCAAAGGCTGGAGAAATGGAAGTGGGAAAGCCGTATTTAAACCCAGCTCTTGGTTTAGGGGTAAAGTGCCTCCAGGAGCAGCACAGGGCAGAAGACAGTGCCCGCAAAGGGACACACTGCACCTCACCCCCCTGCTAGCAGCCACCCACCTGCCCTGCCACATCAGCAGATCTTCTCAAACTAAGTTTAAACGAGGGGAAGCACAAACAGGACCTGCCTTCTCTGGGGGAAGCACCCGTTACAGCCTGAGCACTCCCCGCAGGGCTGAGAGCTCTCCCCACCCCGATCCGCAGCGCTGCTTCTCCTGCCCTCCCTCATACACGCCAGCTTCCCACGCTCTCCTGCTATTCCTGCTGCTCTCCCCACCCTCTGTGTCTGCTTTCTGACAGTCTCTGAGCTCCAGCTCTTCCTCCTGTGGGCTTTTCAGCACCGTTAGCACGATTTTAGTGTCACGGCACACCAACAGGTCAGGTTTGGCCCACCCCACCGTGGCTGCAGGGCCTGTCCCGCTGGCAGCGGGTGCTCCCACAGAGGGAAGGCCACCTTGGCCACCCAGCTGCTGGCCCTGGGATGGGAGCAGAGGCACAGTGGGCTGCCCGGGAGCAGCAGCACCAAGGAAGTTAATTAATGCCACAGCCACCTTGCCTTCCCACGCAATTAATTACACCCTGCCCTGCACCCTCCTGTTCATAGGCAGCCTCTGTCCCCTTCAGAGCAGCTTTAGAAGCCTTAGGTGTGGTGGGTTCTAAGCAAACCACTTGGAATTTCCACTTCAGCTCCTCACTAAACCCTTGGAGCCCCCCGACTGCCAACTTGGACACAGTGCTGGGAGTACATCCCATTTCCAGGTTCTCCAGGCACCAACACAGAGGTTTAGGGAGTGAACACCAGTAGCAACCTCAAGCCAAAAGACAAACCCGATGAGACAAACCCCAAACCAAACAGGCAAGATAGTAGAGTGTTTATTAGTCTTTAATTATAACCAGTGAAGGAAAGTAGGCAACTTTATCCCAGACTCTCACCAGGATACAAACAGTGATAGATCTCAGCGTGCTCCTTTTGTTTGCTAACTCCAGCAATGCAGGTGCTGTTCTGTTTCACTCAAGCACCGTGGGGCAGAGCCAGGAGAAGCTGACCCACCTACCTCCTCCTGTTTGGCTCCTTGTTTTCCTCCTTGAGGCAGGAGGACTGCTTTTTCCTGGGACGCCTCCTCTGCGATGGCGTTTTGGGCATGAGCGCAGGCTCTGCCCTGATGCTGCTGTGGAGCAGAAGAGGCAGAGCACAGGTTGCTTCCAACACCACTTCCCGGAACAAGGGTCGCTCACCAGGAGGGATGAGGCCCAAACCCACACCTGTGTCCAGCCACACCCAGGCAGGAGCTCACTCCCCAGGGCTAGGAGTGCCCCGAGGGCCGGCGCTCCCTGGGGTCACCTCGAGGGCAGCCCCTACCTCTCCAGCATCCTCACGCCCTGCTCCTCCACCTCCCGCAGCCAGGCCAGGCGCTTGTGCTGGGCATCGTGAAGGAAACGGGACAGCCTCTGCCCGCACACCTCCAGCAGCTGCCGCGGCCCCTCCGCCATGGTCCTGCCTGCAACACAGAGAGAGAACAACGCGGGGGAACAGCTGGGACGCCTCCCTGAGGGAAGGGGGAAGACACTGGGCTTCGAGCAGGTGTGAGGACAGGCCAGGGCACACTGTTAAGTGCCGAGCACGGACAAAACTTAACTCCCGAGAGACCCCTCTCACCCCCAGCCCAGTAGCAGCGGCCTGATCCCCGCCACCCCCTTACCGAACTCTCGAACTGCGGCCTCCCGCTCCCGCCGCCTATTTATCCCCCCACGGCCAGACCAATCACAGCGCGCTCCTCCGAACGCCCCTGC